CATGCATCAAAAGTAACCAAGTTTGTGTATAATCACACAATCTTGATAGGTTGGTTGAGGAAAAGAGAGGTAATAGCTTATAAACCTTTAACTCATGTTCTTGTCAATTCATTACATAATAAATATTTTATAGTAATTTACTAACATCTACTATGTATCTATCACTTGAACAGGGTTGGAAGGAAATTATACAATCGGGTGCAACTCGTTTTGCTACTACTTTCATTGCACTAAAAAGTCTCCATGAGCACAAACATGACTAGCAAGCTATGGTGACAGATAGATTTTTGTTGACTCTCGACATGCCAAAAGTAGTAAAGGCAAAGATGTTATTCCCATAATTCTAGATAATGAATTCTAGGATGACAAGGGTAAAGTTACCAAAATTGTGGCTTATTTGATACATTTGTTGCGGATTGTGGACTCAGATGAGAAGCCTGCAATAGGATATGTGTACGATGGCATGTATAGAGAGAAAAAAGTGATCAAGAAGTTCTTTAAGAATAAAAAGACATTGTACAAGCCTTATATAATATTATTAAGATGCAGTGGGATAGGCTTTTGCGCTGTGACATTTAAGCTGCAACTTATTATTTTAATCCAACTTTTTAGTATGACCGATCAACTTTTTTGCAAGAAACCAGAGGTCATGCGTGGTTTTCTTGATGTTGTTGACAATAAAGTAAGTGCATTCAGGTTGAACAAGTCAAAGTTTGTGGACGAGAGTAGAATATATTGAGACCATGAGGAAAGCTTTTCTCGTGAGTTTGCCATTCAGACCTGCAAAACCACACGACCTGGTATGTGATAGTTATTAAATTTCTCAATTTTAAGTATGATTTCTGAGTTATGAATTTATGGTTATTTCATATGGTTAACTTAACACTTTGACTTTCAATTAGATGAATGGTGGAGGACATATGGGTACAGTACTCCACTTTTACAGAAGTTTGCAATCAAAATTCTAAGCCAAACTTCAACCTCTTCGGGATGTGAGCGAAATTAGAGTATTTTCAAACGTATCCATTCAAAAAGAAGGAATATATTGGAGCATCAGCGGTTGAATGATCTTGTTTTCATCTATTATAACTTGCGTTTGAAAAATAGGTATAAAGCATTGGCAATTTTCATATTTTTGTTATCTCTTATTTTTCTTGATATTTTTATTTGGCGTGTCTTTTAGGATGTGTTACCAAAAAAGTAGTTGTGATCCTATCGATTTTGGAAGCATCGACATAACAGAATTTTGGATTGCTAACGATGAACAGGAGGGTGAAGAATTCAATTTAGATGAATTGGAGCAAGCACTTTATGATGAAGGATCTATTCCTATTCGTGTTGGTGATCAGCCCTACTATGATTCAACAGATGTTTCACAAGGTTGTTTTCCAACTTTTAACCAACTTGGTAGCTATTTTAAATTATAATATTAAAAAGCAATGCATATCATAAATTTTAACTTATGTTTTTAATTTTTGCTAAATTTTTTGTAGATGATGGTGATGATAATGATGATGACTCAAACGATGGTGTGGATAATCAGTTTAGAATGGGTTGAACCATTGAAAATCATTGGAAAAATAAAGTATGTTTTTGAATTTTTGTTTTAAATTTATGTTATGGAAATGATTCAAATGAATATAGGAATCGAGATGGATTATTATATTAATTAATGTAGTAATTTATGTCATGTTTTCATTCTAACTCTTTTGTTGTATTTTAATTCATTTGTAGGAATTGAGATGGATGATGGGACTCTGGGAGTTGATATAACTGAATTTGGGTCGAAATCATTAATAACTTATCATTGATGGATGGTGCATTGATATTTTGTAATTTTGTTTGTGTGCTAGTTGGTGGATTGATATTATATAATTTTGTATGCCTTTGAACTTGAGGATTGATATTTTGTAAATTTGTTTGTGTGGTGGTTGATGTTTTCATTATTGTTGTAGCCTGTAGGGTTTGTTTTAAAAAAATCTAACATTTTGTTTTGTGGATCATCATGTTGACATCATTCAACTGACGTCAGCATGGTGTTATGATGACATCATCATGCTAATGTCAGCATGATGATGTCATTTGTCCGACCGACCGATCGGACTGGTTAAACTGGAAACCGTGCCGTTGGCTAGGTCAGGGCCCGGTTCGGTTTTTAGAACATTGATTAATATTGTTTAGTTATCATTTTCTATTTAATATAGTAAAAATAGATAAGCTTAAGTTATAGCTTATTAATTTGTTATTTAAGCCATGACAGTTAAGTTAATAGAAGACTATGTGGGATTTGAAGCTTATTAATACCTAGGTTGGTATGGATGCTTAAAAAAAACATCATTGAAAGACTATAAACAAATACTCCCTTTGATTCAAAATATCTGTCGTTTTAGCAAATTACACAATTTTTAATGAACTAATGATGACATACTTCTCTGTTATGAGAAAGTAATTTTTTAATGTAGACAAATCGTCATCAATAATTTGTTGGCAGTTGGCACTCTTTTACATTGACAAAAGTTGACTCGGATTTTCTCTCTCCTACTTTGTCGGCTCTTATTTACTTTTCAATGATTGAAAAATTATCAAATTTAAAATTACTCTTCCCTTTGAAAGTTTGGTGGAAAATATTGTTAAACAAGAAAGAGAGGAGACAGAGGCCATAAAACGAGAAAGAGAGAGAGGTTCGCTCAACTTTTTTGTCAAACGGCACTTAATTTAGAAAAAAAGTAATAAGTCTAAGATGACATATATATTGAAACGGAGGGACTATAAATGTATATGCAACGGTAACTTATCGTTGTATATAAGTTATCGTATAAAGTTTTCATATAACTATAGTATATTATATTTAATTTTTCAAAATTTTAAATTAATTACAAAAAATAAATTTATTTTCATTGTTTATATAACAAATTTATTGTTGACTGAATAATACCATTACTATTATTGTATAATTAATAATACTACAAAATAACAAAAATAAATCCAAATTAACAATTATTGAAATAAAATTTTATACATTATCCCAAAAACAATTGTATACGGTACAAATGGATAATCTATTACATTGTTGTAGCATTACAGAAATAAAAAAAAAAANGCCGAGCCGAGCCAAGCGGCTCGAGCTCGACTCAAGAAATATTCGAAATCAGCTCGGTTTTGGACGGGCTGATCACAAGCCGAGTTCGAACACCGAGCTACTCGGCTCATGAAGCTCGCAAGCTTGAGCTAGCTTGATAAGAGCTTGAAAATACGTGATTAGTTGGTGATTTATTTAGAGTATTTGTGTGAAAGTTAATTTAAATTGCAAAATTTGAGTTAATCATTTCATAAATAACTTTTATGGGATCACGGGTGTATTTTGAGTATTTTTAGGTTATAAATGATATTTGAATGAAGAATGATGATTTCAATGGAATTTTTGACGAGTCGGAACAAACGGTGTAAGAATTGGAGTTGAAACGAGGAAGTTGTGATGCTTTGAAGATGAGACTAAAAACTTGGAAATTCTTCAAGATAAGCACACTTCAATGTTTTGATCATAACTTGAGCTGTAGAAATCGGAATTAGATGATTCTTGTGGCTTTGGAAAGTTTATTCAGAGGGCTACAAAGTTCTTGACTTCACCAAATTCTAAAGATATAAGACTCGTGGGACAGAAAGAGTGATCGTCGCAACGACTGTTTCCATTGCTGCAACGATGGAGTGCGGGCTTGGATGGGTTGTTTTATTTCCTAGTCCAAGTTTGACTTGTTTGAGGCATTTAATTCTTTCCTGATTGATTTCCAAATCCTACCACCATAAATAAGGGTTTTTAATTAGTTTTTAGAGATGAAGAAAGAGAGAAGAGCACAACCACCATTTGGAGATCAGAATTCTTGGAGTTTTAGTTGACCAATTAGAGAAGTTTTTCTATTTTCTTTCTTGTAATATGATAGTTGTTTTTAGTATTGAAATTATGAACTAAGTCTCTTTTTTAGGGCTAAAGATGTAGCCCAATTTATGAATATATATTGATTTTATTGCTGTTAGTTTTAATTGAGCATTGTCTAAGTTTTATTATTGAGTGTAATGCTTTCAATTCTTATGGATCCAAGAGTTGAATGATATCATAGGTTGAGTTGAATGATATCATAGGTTGAGTTGAGATCGAGAGATAAAACCTAATTAGTCTAAGATAATAAAACCACAGATTGAGCGAACGCTAGAGATAGGTTACCGTAATCTATGAGACTCTAGTAAATTCCATAAAACTTAATGATCTCTTAACTTTTAAATCCACTTTAGAGATATTTTGGGTTGTTGATTAAGGGTTAATTTGATAATTATTCTAGAGAAAATTATCAGAATATTAGGGAATTTGGCCTTTAGAATAAGCTTAATTATGTTAGCAATAATTGTCAATGCATATGATTGAATTGGTGTGAAATTTGTGCCCTAGGTTTAATCATATTGATTTTCAATCAATGTTTGATAATAATTTTGCTGATATTTACTTTTAATACTTCTTTCTTAAGGATTTTGATTTATCAAATAGTAATAAGATAAATTAGTTTGATACTTGGTAGTAATAGTTCTCTTGGGATTCGACACTTGTTATTCGAGTTTTATTACTTGCGTGATTTCGTACACTTGCGAATAGCCTGTCAAGTTTTTAAGTAATAAAGCTCAAGTAACGATTGTTGAATCCCAAGAAAACTTTTACTTGCGCGATTTCGTACACTTACGAATAACCTGTCAAGTTTTTGGTGTCGTTGTTGGGGAAATACTTTTTTTTTTTATCAATATCATTGCAAACTATTTAGTTGCTAATTTGATTTGTTTTATTTTTGTTTTAAAATTAATTTTTATTTTGTTGTGTTTGCTTTTCTTTTTCTTTTTAGATCCTGGAGAGCTTACGTTCTAAAAGTGGCGGTGATCTTAATTCTTTCAATTCTGAGATTGAGAGAACGGCTAAATAGTTGAGAAAAGAAAAGATGCAAGCCAACTTAGAAAAATCAATGGTTGACAAGGGAATTATAAGTCACAATATGATTAATCAAGAGATTGAGAATGAGGAAATCCCAGGGAGCAATGCAACTGGTGGAGTTGTAGTTGTTCAAAGAGCATTGAAGGACTACTCTAGTCCTAATGTTGAAGGGTGTTATTCTAGCATTAGGATATCACCAATTCAAGCGAATAATTTTGAAATAAAGCCAGTAATTATTCAAATGATACAACATTTGGTCCAATTCGCAGGGTTATCTAATGATGATCCCAACTTGCATATCGCCAATTTTCTAGGGTTATGCGACACATTCAAACATAATGGGGTATCTAATGATGTAATTAGGCTAAGGCTTTTCTCATTTTCCCTTCAGGATAAAGCTAAGGCTTAGTTAATTTCTCTGCCATCTGGGAGCATCACTACATGAAACGAGTTAGCTCAAGCGTTTCTTATGAAATATTTTCCACCTGTCAAGTCTGCCAATATGACAAGTGATATTACTAATTTCTTCCAACAAGACATGGACTCATTGTATGAAGCATGAGAAAAGTATAATGATCTCTTACGAAAGTGTCTTCATCATGGATTGCCAATATGGTCGCAAGTGCAAACATTCTATTAAGGATTACTGCCAAATATTCAAGCTATGATAGATGCTGCAAGTGGGGGAGCTTTGAATAATAAAACACCAGAGGAAGCTTACAATTTAATTGAAATTATGGCAACCAACAATTACTTGAGGTCTTCAGAATAGAATTTACCAAATAGGGTCGCTGGGGTGTCTGATGTAGATGGTTACACTGCATTGGCTGCACAACTTTTAGCTATTCAGAAGCAATTGGGTACTGTTTTAAAGGTAAATGCAATTGATTCATCTCCTTTAACTTGTGAACTTTGTGTAAGTAATCACTCATCCAAGGATTGTCAAGAAGGGAATCCATTTGCTTAGCCTGAACAAGCGAATTACGTCAATAATTTCCAAAGGGGCAAAGGAATCCATACTCCAACTACAATCTTGCATGAAGGAAGCATCCCAACTTCTCATGAAGCAACCAATGAACCTAAACAACCTCCTAGTTTTCAAGCTCAAGAGCCAAAATCTAACTTAGAGAATGCGCTTACCATGTTCATTGATGAGACAAGCAAGAGGTTTGAAAAGAATGAAATCCTTGTCCAAAATCAGTTAACCTCCATTAGAAACCTTGAGACTCAAATACGAAAAATCCATAACATATTAACGGGAAGAGTTCAAGGTGTTTTGTCGAGCGATACAGAGAAGAATCCTAAGGAACAAGTGCATGCAATCACCCTAAGGAGTGGAAGAACTTTGGAAAATTCAGAGGATGAAAAACGAATTCAAGAACAAGAGAAAGACCTAAAGGAAGAAAAGAAAGACGATCGTTGCGGCGACGAAAATGGTAGCCGCAGTGACTATGAAATTTCTGAAGATGCAAGCTTTGTTGATGACGATCGCTGTTGCGAGGAAACTTGTCACCGTGGTGACCGTGACTTTGTTCCCGAATCTTCAGAAGTTGGCACTCATCGCCGCGGCGAAAAAACTGGTAGTCGTGACAACCGTGAATCTAACCATAATGCTTCTTTAAGTCATCAGGCCAAGGAGAAAAAGGAATCCACCATTCCATACCCACACCGTTTGAAAAATCAGAAGCTTGACAAGCAATTTGGTAAGTTTATTGATGTGTTTCGAAGCTTGCATATTAATATTCCTTTTGTTGATATGTTGGAACAGATGCCAAAATATGTCCAGTTTCTGAAGGAGATCCTCACACATAAAAGAAAATTCGAGGAACACGACAAAGTTACGCTAACGGAAGAATGCAATGCACTGGTTCAAAAGAAATCACCACTCAAACTACGAGATCAAATGAGTGTTACTATCCCTTATATTATTGATAGTTGTTATTTTGATAAGGTTTTGTGTGACTTAGGGGCAAGCATTAATTTAATGTCATTTTCTATTTATGGGAAACTTAGATTGGGAGAAGTAAAGCCAACCACCATGTCTCTCCAATTGCCAATAACATATCCTAGGAGGGTGGTAGAAGACGTCTTGATTAAGGTAGACAAATTGATTTTCCCGGTAGATTTCACAGTGTTAGACATGGAGGAAAATAGGAAAATACCTTTAAGTTTAAGAAGACCTTTTCTAGCCATGGCTAGAACATTGATAGATGTCCACCAAGGGAAATTAATCTTAAGGGTATAACATGAGCATGTAGAGTTTGATGTTTTCGACTCCATGAAGTGCACATCTGAAATAGACACATGTTTTAAGATTAGTGTCTTTGATAACATAGTGGATCAAAATTTTGAAGAAAGCTACCATATTTCCCCCTTAGAGAAATTGCTTGATGAACTCTAGAGATCAAGAGGATGAAGTTGATAGTGAAGAGATAAGAGAGTGTTTAAAGTACTTAACTGCTTTACCACCTTTAGCTCGTCCTCAAGCCAACACAATTAAAGAAATTGAAGTTGTGGTAGCTCAGCCCACTTCACCAATCGAGAAGCCACCGACACTTGAGCTCAAGCAACTACCATCTCATTTAAGGTACACATTCTTAGAAAATGATAATTTTCTTCCAGTCATTATTAATGCTTATTTGAATGTTGTAGAGGAAGAAAAGTTACCGCAAATATTGGGGAAATACAAGAAGGCCATTGGATGGACAATTGCGGATATAAACGGTATAAATCCCTCAATTTGCATACACAAGATCCTAATGGAGGAGAGTTATAAGCCTACCATCCAACAACAAAGAAGATTGAACCCATAAATGCAAAAAGTGGTCATGAAGGAGGTTTTGAAGCTCTTAGATGTGGGAATCATATATCCAATCTCGGACAGTGCGTGGGTAAGTCTAGTCTAAGTAGTGCCAAAAAGGGAGGAATGATTGTGGTCCATAATGATAACAACGAGTTGATTCCAACACGAATAGTCACGAGATGAAGAGTATGTATTGACTATCGCAAACTAAATTTCGCGACTCATAAGGACCATTTTCCATTGTCATTCATCGATCAAATGTTAGAGAGGTTAGCAGGCCATGGATTTTATTGTTTCCTAGGCGGATATTCAGGATATAATCATATTGCTATAGCACTAGAAGATTAAGAGAAAACAACTTTCACGTGCCCATATGGAACATTCGCCTACCAAAAAATGTCCTTTGGCTTGTGCAACGCTCCTACCACTTTTCAACATTGCATGATGTCAATTTTCTATGATATGGTTGAGAAGTCCATTGAAGTTTTCATGGATGATTTTTCTATTTTTGGAAATTCCTTTAATGATTGCTTAACTAACCTTTCTAATATTTTGCAAAGATGTGTTAATACTAACTTGGTGTTAAATTGGGAAAAGTGTCATTTTATGGTACAAGATGGAATTGTGTTAGGACATCGCATATCCGTGAATGGAATTGAGGTAGATTGAGCAAAGATTGAAGTCATTGAGAAACTACCACCTCCAAATTCAGTGAAGGCTGTCAAAAATTTCCTTGGACATGCGGGTTTTTATAGGAGATTTATAAAGGACTTTTATAAAATCTCTAAACTTCACTGTGATTTATTAGCTAAGGATGTTCCCTTTAATTTTAATCAATAGTGTTTAGATGCATTTGAATGTTTAAAAGTAAAATTAATCTTTGCTCCTATAATTGTAACGCCCGATTGGGAACTACCTTTTAAACTCATGTGTGATGCAAATGATTATGATATAGGGGCTATTTTAGGACAGCAAAAATGTAAGAATTTGCATGTGATCTATTATGCTAGTAGGACTTTAATAGGGCCTCAATTAAATTATGCTACTACTGAGAAAGAATTCTTAGCAAAAGTATTTTCTATTGATAAATTTTGTTCTTATTTGCTAGGTACCAAGGTTATTGTGTACACTGACCATATTGCATTGAAGTGCCTTCTAGCAAAATGGGATTCCAAGCCAAGGTGTTGTGACAGGTGCTGCTCCTACAAGAATTCGACTTGGAAATCAAAGACAAGAAAGGAACGAAAAATTAAGTGGCTGATCATCTATCCTGATTGGAGTCCAATGAAGAAGTCCAAGAGGAAGATAAGTCAATCAACGAATACTTACCAAATGAGTAATTATTCTCCATTCAAGAAAGGTTGTGGTTCGCAAATTTTGTCAAATATTTAGCACATAAAGTTTTGCCCCTTGGAATGAACTCCCAAAGACAAAAGAAATTTTTTGTTGATTTAAAATATTATTTTTGGGAGGATCCTTTTTTGTACAAACATTGTGTAGATCAAATGATAAGAAGATGTCTGCCAAAGGAAGAGATGACGAATATTCTTCGTCATTATCATTCAATGGAAGTTGGCGGCCATTTTGGTTTGACAAAGACAGTCGCTAAAGTTCTTCAATCAAGATTTTTTTAGCCCATTCTTTTTAAAGATGCTTTTAATTTTGTGATGAGTTGTGATGAATGTCAACAGGTCGATAAAATAGCTAGGAGAAATGTCATGCCTTTAAATAATATCTTAGAAGTAGAATTATTTGATGTGTAGGGTACAGATTTCATGGGACCTCTTCCTTCCTTGTTTTCTAACTGTTTTATTTTGGTTGCTTTAGATTATGTCTCAAAATGGGTGGAAGTTGTAGCATTGCCAAGAAATGATGCTCGCGTGGTTGTCAAGTTTGTAAAGAAGAACATTTTTACAAGATTCGACACACCAAGGGCCATTATAAGTGATGGAGGTTCTCATTTCTGCAATCGTCAATTTGCAACATTGTTAAGCAAGTGTGGTGTTACGCATCGCGTTTCTACCCCATATCACCTTCAAATCAATGGCCAAGTAAAAGTATCCAACAAAGAGCTTAAACGGATCTTGGAAAAGACTGTAAGCACTTCTCGAAATGATTAGACAACCAAGTTTGATGACGCATTATAGGTGTATAGTACAGCATTCAAAACACCCATTGGAATAACACCCATTGGAATGTCACCTTATAAGATGGTTTATGGAAAAGCTTGTCACTTATCAGTGGAGTTGGAACATAAATCGTATTGAGCAATGAAATTTTTAAACTTCAATTTACAAGCGGCAGGAGCAAAACGATTACTGCAAATCAATGAGATGGAGGAATTCAGAAATCATACATATGAGAATGCTCGAATTTACAAAGAAAAGACTAAGCAATGGCATGACAAGCATATCGTGAAGAAGGAATTCGAGGGGGATAAAGTGTTGCTGTTTAACTCAAGACTACGACTTTTCTCAAAAAATTATGCTCAAGATGGTTTGGATCGTTCACAGTACATCGCGTGTTTCCACATGGGGTGATAGAGGTTTGCCACCCAACGGAGGGGACGTTCAAAGTCAATGGACAAAGATTGAAACCTTATATAGAGCATGAAACTAATGATAAGAGGGTTTCAATTTTCCTTTAGAATCCACAATGACTACGGAAGGGAGTCGAGCTTAAGACTTTAAACAAATACTCCTTGGGAGGCAACCCAAGATTTTAATTTCGTTTTATTTTTAGTTCTAATTTTTGTTTAAATTCTCATTTTNGGCAGGAGCAAAACGATTACTGCAAATCAATGAGATGGAGGAATTCAGAAATCATACATATGAGAATGCTCGAATTTACAAAGAAAAGACTAAGCAAGGGCATGACAAGCATATCATGAAGAAGGAATTCGAGGGGGATAAAGTGTTGATGTTTAACTCAAGACTACGACTTTTCTAAAAAAATTATGCTCAAGATGGTTTGGACAGTTCACAGTACATCGCGTGTTTCCACATGGGGCGATAGAGGTTTACCACCCAACGGAGGGGACATTCAAAGTCAATGGACAAAGATTGAAATCTTATATAGAGCATGAAACTAATGATAAGAGGGTTTCAATTTTCCTTTAGAATCCACAATGACGAACGGAAAGGAGTTGAGCTTAAGACTTTAAACAAGCACTCATTGGGAGGCAACCCAAGATTTTAATTTCGTTTTATTTTTAGTTCTTAATTTTTGTTTAAATTCTCATTTTTATTTATTTACATTTTTTTGTATTTTTATTGGTCAATTTTATTTTGAGTCTTATTAGTTTTAGTATCTTCGTGTCTCAATTTAGATATTTGATGTGCTTTTTTTCAAGGCAGTAGCAGACCACATTCATCAGTTGCCCAACCATAACAAAATCACGCTCCTCGCGGCCAACAATTCCACCATTGTAGCCACTGTACGCTAAAAAATGAACGATAAAGAAAAGTACGATCATCGCGGCGACAAGTCACGTCGCTGCAACGAGTATCAAATTTCGATACGCAAACACAAGAACAATGCTCGCTGCAATGAAAAAACACATAGCTGCAGCAAGCATGATTTGGAAAAACAACGAGTCCCTTAATTTAAAAAAAAAAAATGCGAATTCCCAATTTATTTACTTCTCCTTTTCTCTCAAACTCCCATCACCTCCTCTTCTCCATCTAACATCTCTAAACCCTTCACCTCATCTGTCCTTCATTCCAATTTTTTTTCATCATTTTATCACTAAAAAAATCCATCTCAACTCATATATCACATAGATTCAAGAAACAATTCCAAGATTTTCACAAGTTCAAAGGCTAGGGTTCCAATTTTGGGGGATTTCAAATTGGGACAATTTTCACAAATTCAAAACAAGTTTATTACACAATCGATTCAAGTAAGTGTTTTTCCACCCACATTGCATAATATTGTTGATTGTTGCGGATTGGTTGAATTCTTTGCTTAATTGTGGAGAAATTGTATGTGATTGAGGAGTTTGTAGTGATTGAGATTGGGTGTTGTGATAGTATATTAGATTGGGTGAATTGGTTGAATGAAGAGTTATTATGATGGCACGTAAAAGAAAACCAAGAGGAGATAGGAGAGATAAAAGAAAGAGGCAGCCTTCTCACGACATTAGATTTGTAAGTCAGGCTTCCAAGGAGTGGTATGAACAGTTTGTGAAGAAACCTAGAGGGTTTATTGAAGAGAGAGGGCTGGTGTTTACTGAAAATGTTAGTGGGGATTTATGACAAAATCCTAGCTCTAGGTTGGCAAACATTTTGCAAAAAATCGCAGAGACCTGTTGTAGCCTCTGTGGTCAAGGAGTTTTATGTCAACATGTCAAATATCGTTGATGGAAGGACGATGGTGAGAGGCAAGGAAGTAGTTTTTAATGTAACCACCATTAATGCATTTTACGGGCTGTCACATATTGA